GATGGAGAAAAGTTTATTTGAAATAAATTGTTTATTATGAACTAAAAGGACATTACTCATAAACAGATTTGGTTTAGTTATAATGATTTTCTAATGATAAAAAGAGAAAATCACCGAAATATCAAAATTGAGTACTTTTGGTATTAAAATTGATCATAACTCAAGGATGAAAGGTGATGGAGAAAAGTTTTTTAGGAATAAATTGTTTATTATGAAATAAAAAAATATCATCCATAAACAAATTTAGTTTAGGTATAATGATTATCTAGTGATAAAGAAAAAATCACCAAAATTTTAAAATTGAGTACTTTTGGTATTAAAATAGGTCATAACTCAAGAATGAAAGGTGATGGAGAAAAGTGTACTTCAAATAAAATGTTTATTATGAACTAAAAGGACATTACTCATAAACAGATTTCGTTTAGTTATAATGATTTTCTAATGATAAAGAGAAAATCACCGAAATATCAAAATTGAGTACTTTTGGTATTAAAATTGATCATAACGCAAGGATGAAAGGTGATGGAGAAAAGTTTTTTAGGAATAAGTTGTTTATTGTCAACTAAGAAGACATCATCCATAAACAAATTTAGTTTAGATGTAATGATTTTCAGGTGATAAAGAGAAAATCCCCAAAATGTCAAAATTGGTACTTTTGGTGTTAAAATCGATCATAGCTCAAGAATGAAAGGTGATGGAGAAAAGATGGAGAAAACCTTGTCGTCAAATAACTTTATACCCTATTTGTCAAGTTTGACGTACAATTTCATAGCCGACTACTAAATTTTCTCTTATTTTAAGTAACATTACGAAATACGTGTCTTTAGTCATTTAAGTTTTTTATGAAAACGACAAAGTTTTTTAAAAAATAATACGAGTAAGAAAAGTTTTAGAATTAAATTCCACATGAAATGAAGTAGTAATGTATTAAATCCGCCAAAAGGTTAAAAAAATTTGCCAAAATTTAAGGTACCATCACCCTTAATCAACTCTATGAAATGCCTCAATTGAGTTCAATTTGCTACCAATTAATACCCTTGGTACACTCATAACGTATACCAAATTTGGTTTTTCTAGCGTAATGTATTACGAAGATATTGAACTTTTTAAGAGCCAACTTTGAAGGCCTATAACTCCTGAGGTGTACAACTTAGTATAGAGGTAAATTACGTTAAATCATCTTAATTTATTGTCCTCTACATGTCCCTGCTCTGTGTCGGTTCTTATGTGAATCACCCTGTATATAAAATCAATCTTATATCTAGGGCAACAAAACCACTGTAGACCAGTGTACTGAAAGCAGTTGGTGCAAGTGAGCCAACACACTGCTTAGATATTTCTCAAACATGTTTAATCGAAAATGTAATGTTTTTTTTTGTTTAAAGATCATGCAGATGATCCTCCCGTAACGGGAGAATTTTGGTTTTATTATTTCGTACCGAAGAATATAACTGGTATAAATAGAGTAAAGAAAAAACGTTGTCTTCCCGGTTCAACCATGTTTCAAGAACATTGTATGTGGCAGATTGATAAAATATATCAAGGAGCAATCTGCGTCCGTGCTAAAGTGATATACAGTATTGAAACGGGAGAAAATTTAAGTAAACTTTATAAATATACAACGTTCTAGAATGAAGGTTAAAAAAGTAATGCATTTTAGCGGTGACGGTAGGAGATGTAATTGCCTCTCAACAACCAACACGGTTTTATGAATTAGCTTTTCCTGGTCCGCTTGCACTCGAATTTTATTTTGTATTTGCCGCTGGCCACGAATTTCATAATTATAATTCCGAAACAGTAGTACATTCAGAACAGAATTGGCACGTATGTTAATATAAATCATTAAAAGCATCCATTAATCTAGAAATTATTTTTTCAAGTTTTTAAGCCCTATCAAAGGAGATGATTTAAAAACCAAAATACGACAGTCGTTTAATTTGTACAGAAAAGATCAAACCTCTGAAAACGAACGTACAACTTATGCCATAAGATTTTATGCTCAAGATCCTTTGCAACATTACAATCCACTCGCAAATTATTATCATACCCTTATAGTGTCATTAACCTCTCAAGTATCTCAATTAGACGAAGCCAATGCGCGGTTGTATTTTCGATTGGTAGAAGAAATATTAGACGATTTAACATCTGTGGTACGCCTAAAAGTTTATTAAAAAGTTATCTTTAACATTTTTTGCCAATTTTTAGATTGATACACTTGGTCGTGTGTTTGATTCAGGAAGTACTCGCAGCGATAATTTGTTTATTATCGAAGATTTAGCTGTAAGATTAACCGCGCTTCTTATACGTTTGGATTTGCCGGAACACGTCGAAGCAACTCCCAAATTCGTGGTATCAAGAAGTCGTTTAACACATCGTCTAAGCAAAATTATTAACAGAGCTCTTTGGGCTGCTTCACATCCTATGGCGCATGCTGCTATGGTTGATACGGCTTATTAGTATGGAAATAAATTTGGAATTATGCTCATTTTAATGTATTTTTAACAGCTCCCTTAGACATTGTATGCACGTTAATTTGGGGGAAAAGAAAAAAGAGGAGATGTCAACTACGATGGCTAGTGCAATTCAACCCATTGAGATTCACAAGTATATACCTGAAGATTATCCGGATTATGATGAGGATTCAGTTATGGATAGTTCTACTTCTGACATGGTAATTAAATGGTTTTTCATATTTTATTCATTTAATATGTTTTTTTTTGACTTAGGTTCGATATTCTACAATGTTAATTTTTAATGCTTCGCATTATTACGGAGAAATATTTATTTTAACTTCAACATTAGGGGATGAAGCGCCAGCGTATAATTTAAAATACTTTGAACAAAAGTTCTATGTTTTCGATTTTCCACAACTGATTCTTGGTTTAACAGCAGCCGTTTTTGGTCACATTCAAGTTCGCGTACAAAGTCCCATTGAATTTCTGTGGACCAAATCTGATTTTATGAAAGTATTTATAACGGTTTTCAAGAGGGAGGTTTTTTACTTTATGAATTTTGAGGATAGTGTTCCACTGGATATTGTTGTTTACAATTCAATAGTACATAGCGGACGAGTCGGCAAGCATACTCACGTAAGGGAGTTACAATATCCAGTGGAGGTGATGTATAGATATCCTAGCCCAGATACCATACAATTCCAAAATCACACATTTTTGTTGCCGGCGAAATGGCAAGAGTGGACCGATGAACTAATGAACAAAGAAATGTATTTGATGCGAATCCAAATGTCTACCAATACTGTACTTACTATAATTATAAGAAATATTACTGGTTTTCCTGATGATGCAGATGATGAAGCCTTGAAGGTATACAATTTTGCTTTCAACTAACTCTTTAATGTTAATGCTTTATTCTAAGTTGTGTGCTATACTTTATGAACTCATATTTCTCCCGAAAATGATTCAACTTCTTTTTGGAACAGCCTATATATTGGTTAATTAGTTTTAAGCGTGCAACTTTACACGAGTAAATAGTGAGCTCCATACTGTTCACTAGAACTTAGGACGCCCTCATTCTTTTCCAGATGGTGTCTATGGGTGTATTTTGCTTTCTTCAACCATTTCAAACCTTACATTTCAACCCGTTTCTAATATCATTATTTCGTTTATCTTCCTCTTTCATCGTCCAAACTTCACAGCCATATGTCAATACACTATCGGTCATAGTCTTTCCAATACGTTTTGTTTTACTACTTGTCCTCATCCCCTACCCAATATTAAACTGCCTTCTCTTCACTCCCGCACATATATCACGTAATAATACTTTTTTCCTTCCCTCTACCCTCATCATTTCCTTCCCTCTTTGTGTATTCTCCGTTGAAGATCCTACTCTAATATAATATTCCCTTCTTTCCTGTTGTCCATACTTTCCCACCCCAGTCTTAACCTCCCTTCAACACTTTCCCAAAATTTTAAAGTTGCTCCTCTGCTCCAGCCCGTCCTCGTAGTTTATCGCCCTCCTGCCTGCTTGTACCCTTATCTTCTTCAGCTTCAACTCTTCTTTCGCTATATATATCCTCTAATATTGTTCCTGGAGCTCCATCATCTTGTGTTCTTTCCACCTCCATATTTCCGATCCATACATTATCACATCCCTCACAAATCTATCAAACATATTTTCCGCCTGCACAAATCTTTTCCAAATATTCGTTGCTCAAGCTCCATATCTGCCCTAATAATCTGCTTGCGTTTCGACCTGTCTGTCTAATATGAGCCCTGTACGAGGATGTACAATATCATGTACAATATTTTTATTGAATTTTAAAAATTATTTTTATTCTACCACATTTTAGGTTGTTAATGGATAATTTATTTTTTTAATCTATTTTTTGTTTTTTGTAAATTATATAACAAATCATTTTATTAAAAACAACTTTTCATGGCACACTTTGTGTGGTGCATGGCACACTACAATACTCCCCTTTCCGTGAAAAAGAAATTAATAAGAAGAGGAAGGTAAAACAATGGTACAACTTAAGAAAGTAATATGTTGTAGTAATAAAAAATAACGATTATATTACACTGATTTTAATTTTGAAAAAGTGTCTCTTAAACTGGAGAGGAAAGGCTCATAGTCAATAGATGGATTAGTAGGTATGAAGAACTCTCCAGGAAGTCTTAGTGGTTGCCCGTAAAACAGTTCTGCTGAGGAAAAACCTAGATCTTCCTTAAGTGATGTTCTTAATCCTAGTAGGATGAGGGGTAGATTGTTGTTCCATCTAGTAGAGTCTCCTTTAGCGATGATAGCCGTCTTCAATGATCGATGAAATCGTTCTAACATTCCATTTGCTTGGGGATGGAAAGATGATGTATGTATTTGTCGTGTGCCAAGTAATGTGTTAAATTTTGAAAAGAGGTTTAATTCGAATTGCCATCCCTGATCATGTGTTATTGTGGTAGGTATACCAAATCGACTAAAATAATGCCGGAAGAGTGTGTTTGTTACTTTGCTATAGTAGGAGATGTGATATCTTTCAGCGGAAAAGCTTCTGGCCATCGAGTGAAGCGCTCGGTAACTGTACGTACATAAGTACAACCTAGGGACGGAGTGAGTGGTCCAATCAAGTCGATATGTATATGATCAAATCTAATTTTAGGAATTTTGATGTTGATGATTGGCGATTTTGTATGTTTTTGAATTTTTGCTTGTTGACATGTGTGGCCAAAAGAATCTTGTTTTGATTGCATGAATGGTGGAACGTATTCCGGGATGAGATAAGCTATGAATTTTGTCAAAAATTGCTTATCTGAACTGTTGCGGAATATAAATTCTTTGAGATGATGAAGAGGTTTCACACTACAGTTTGATATCGGATTGTGATGTTGTTTGATGTGTTAAACGATAAGATTTTGAAGGATTGTTGGAAATTGCTTATTTAGTAAGTTTTCCAATTCTGTGTCAGCAAGTTGAGCGTTGCTAAGGGCTAGAAAATCTGGATAAGATGAATTTAGAGATCCGATGTTTGTTCTGGATAGAGTATCTGCAACAATATTTGAATTTCGTCTGATGTATTTGATATCTGAAGTAAATTGTGCAATATAACTTCGATATCGGGTTTGTCGAGGAGTTTTGTCTGTGGACGAAAAAATTGATGCGACAATGAGTTTGTGATCTGTATATACTGTAAATTTATTTCCATGTAACGAATGTTTGAAAAATTTGATAGCAGAGTAGATCGCTAACAGTTCTCTATCAAAAGTGGTATATTTGGTTTGGCATGAATTAAATTTTTTGGAAAAGAACGCTAATGGTTGAGACCTTCCATTGACGGTTTGCGTTAAAACAGCTCCCATACCTGTGTGAGATGCATCAGTTGACAATGATAGGATAGCATGTGAAGAGGGATGTCCTATAAAGATAGATTTTGATAGAAGATTTTTGGCTGAAAAAAAAGTGTTGTGTTGCAGAGTCCAAGAAGTCGATGAAATTGTTTTTTTGTTTTTGATAGTGAAGTAATTTTGAAAGTGAGTATAAGGGATCAAGAATATTTGAAATGTTAGGTAAGAATCTATGGTAGAAGTTTAATATTCCCAAAAATCTTTGTAACTCTTTTAGAGTCGTTGGCTTTGGAAAATGTGTTATGGCTGTGATTCTTGATTGCGATGGTCGAATGCCATCGGATGAAACATGATGACTAAGAAAATCCAATGATTTAACACCGAAAATGCATTTTTTCGGTTGGATATTGATATTGTAGGAAGTTAATCTGTGAAATAATTTTGTAATAGTTTGTTTTATGTGAATTTTGTATTATTTAATTTTATTTATTTTTATTAATGAATTTTTAATTTTTACGATAATATAATGAAAAACTCTTCTTACTAATGTCTAAGAAGGTAGGAAAATTTGTAGGACTTACCGTACACCACAACAAAGGTCCAAATTAACTAGGTCTATCCAGTTGTGTCTTGATTTTGGTGCGGTGAATGGTTTCTCTGGAATATTTGGCGGGAAATCAGGTGGTGGCAAATCTTATGGTTTGAGTTGCTGATTGGTTTGACACTTGAGTTTCAGGACTATTGATTGGCGAGCTTCAATATCGGGATCGTTGATTGGTGAACTTTTTAATTTTTTTCTTTTGGTTTGGGTTGACTTGTGTCCAATTTTAGAATTCTTGATAAACAATTCTCAACTTTGCAGTGTTTCTGTCGGGGTCACCAAATATTGTACGAGGATGTACAATATCATGTACAATATTTTTATTGAATTTTAAAAATTATTTTTATTCTACCACATTTTAGGTTGTTAATGGATAATTTATTTTTTTAATCTATTTTTTGTTTTTTGTAATAAATTATATAACAAATCATTTTATTAAAAACAACTTTTCATGGCACACTTTGTGTGGTGCATGGCACACTACAAGCCCCATCACATTTGCTTGAATGGTTGAAAGTTTCCAGGTCCCGCCTTTGCAGAATTGTATACCAAATCCTTCCTGTCAAAGTATGTCTCCATTGATCTCATCATTGGCATATGCGGATGAATCTATCTTTTCTGCCCTCATTACTACTCCTTCGTTCTGTCCCCTCTTTAACCTTTCATTCAGATCCTCTATAAACGCCGCAAATAAACTGGGGACTTAATTGGCATCCCTATCTTAACCCTCTAGTCGTGTAAAATTCTCGACACAGTCTCTACGAGTATATCTCTTCCAGGTCTTATTTCTCGAAGCAAATGTGTTCTCAAATAGGAGTAGGTATTAGTCTATCAGTCAGTTTTTGTATAGCTTGTACAGATGAAAAGTCAAATTTAGATTGATAATTTTGTGGTTGCTTTGCTGGTGGTATATATTCTTGTATTTATTTGTTTTGGGGTGTAAATTGTTCTTGCGCTAACAAAGGTTATAAAAGAATTAACCTAGGTAATTATTTCAGTGTCACATTTACCGAAGGCATACTTATATTATTTGCTTCAGCACTTTTGATGTCCTCTGGAGCACGTAACTTTACTCCCATATCTATTTTTTCATCAATCAGTTGTATATCACTGGTGTGTAGAGTACTGGCCTTAGAACACTACCTTGCGGTATTAATGCGTTCAGTTCAGAGTAAGTGTTTAATGAGTTTAAGAATCATTAGTAGGCAGCCGTTCCATTAAAAAAAAGTTGACTCATTATCAGCAAAATAACAAAGACAACACTCCCCTGTCTTTTGACGCGGGCTGTATATACTATTTATTAAACATACAAAAACTAAAACTCTGTTTTTCTAGGTCGTTATTTTAGATACCAACTATCCGTTTTATCCCGACCATTTTCGAACTAGTGACGTTTATTATTTCAGTGATAATCAATCGGTACACTACTATGTACATACCAAATCTAATAGTATTATGTATGTTGGAATTTTGCCCGTTAGACCTGGCCCGGTTGATGTTGAGGTACTTTTTTTTATGATTATTTTTATTTTAGATTTTTAAACAATTATCACCATGTCATTTAAATCTGATTTTTTAGCCATCTATTAAGTTGCAAAGATAAAAAAGTTTTAAAATTTAACATTTCATAATGTAATAAATGACCATCGGGAAGTGAATATATACTCAAAATGTGTGTTTTGAAAAATCAAAATAGACTTGTTTATCAGCGTTTTATTGAATTTATTCCATAATTTTGCCGCACACTGTATAACATAAAGTATTACATATTATTTCATTATTGGAATCTACCCTTCAATACGATTTCAACCATATCAAAAAGGACTTAAACAAATAAAATTCCCAGTACAAATTACTGTAAATATGAAGTAATTTTACTGTAACATGCTGTGATTTTGACATTAATACATTATTAATGTCAAAATCACATACATTATTAACAAAAACTGCTAGTATTTTGAGATGTTTTAAAGAGTTCTGCAAAGTATATCGTTTCTCTAAGGTGCTCTAGATCACTAAGAGTTTGGCATAAAGTAAGGTATTAATTGAGCTAAATTCTATACTCACATACTACTGATTAGTGATGGAACGGATAGTGATTTTGCGAAAAGCCAGATACCCGCTATGGTTATAATTTCTGGTAATAGCTAATCGAATAAACTTATAGAGCTGGCCGAAAGTTATAGTCCTATCGCATCATTGCTGCTATAGGCTTCTCATAAGACTTATACTAAACAGGATTGTCCCAAAGACTCGGAATTATACCCATCAACAAGCTGGTGTGTGTATTTGACAAAATGAGCAAATAGAAAATCATGAACAATGGATTCCGGCAGGGCTCGGTTCTAGTGCTCATACCTTTTAACCTATACATATCGGTTATACCAGCCAGAAGGGCAAGAAAACTTATCTATGCTGATGATATAGCACTTACCGCCCAATACAAAAGGATTGAGATAACTGAAAATATCCTTTCTGGTGACCTGAGAGCAATGGGGGAAAATTTATATAAGCGAAAACTAACACCTTCACATCCAGGAGACTCAGTTTTATTAACATTACGCTGCTGCACCAAATTTCCTCAAATTCTTAGGTGTCACTTTGGACAGAACACTCTCGTGTAAAAAACATCTAGAGAACACATCTGCGGAAATCCGAACATGCAAAAAGATCATACAAATGCTCTGTACCTCTAGATAGGGTGCCGCAACAACCACGCTGCAATGTTCTGCCCTGTAACTGGGTTATTCTGTTACAGAATACTGCACGCCGGTCTTAACTGCATTTTACTGGCTCCAAACGCTAAATAATATCATCCCGCCAAACGTACAAAAAAGTAATGCACTCATCAAAGAGTTCAAGAAAATCACTGACAACCTAAAGCTTCCGACTCATGAGGACCTGCCTTATCTTGATATGAATCGCTTCACATCTCGACCCCCTCCATTAAATCTTGCTGAGGATCAGGCTAGAAACAACTACAACATCAACACTGAGTAGGAAAAAGACTGGAAGGCCTAAGCACTACCAGGGATCAACCAATAGATCCTGCCAAACCAACAACAAATGGATTTGGACTCCCCGCCACCTATAAAAGGGCTTCAACAGAATACGTATGGAGCATAGAGTCTGTGGTGATAGCGTCCAGAAATAGGAAGTGCTCTTCTCAATATGGCTGCGGAGTTTCAAAGCAATCTATTCAGCACATTGTGGGTGACCTTATCCTACCGCTGCAAGGAATTTCTTTTATGCTAAATCAGCAGCTCTTCAATGCATAGCCGAATTGGATATAAAATTTTAGATTGTGGTTCTACTTCTTGTTTTCAAATTTCACCTACGGTACAATTGCTCATTCACCGAATCTCAATCCTAAAGTATTTATAAATATATTTATAAGTCTGGATTTCTGATTATATCAAATCTTAACTGTTAAATATGGTTGAACTTGCATTGAAGGGTAAATTCTACACAAGTGTTGCATATAAAATGCCAAACTGATATTATATCAAAGAAACACAAAATCTAGCAATATTCCAAATATTACGTCTGGAATTCGTGTGTCCTAAAATAGGCATATCCCAAATGATGTATAATTCTAGCTACTCATTTATGAGAAAATTAGGCATTTCTAGATTTCTGTTCCACTCTGCATATACATGGTTTCTATCATTTTCTTTTTAATTTGAGGACGAAGACGGCAAAAGCGACGATTTTCAAGCATTAATTCAAGAACAAGTAATAGATGAAGATGACTATGGTGATATACGATATTCAATGGCTGTTCTTACTTATAAATGCAGTGAGATGGGAGATATGAAAGTGGTAGATAGCGAAATTTGCAAGGTAAGACTTTATTAAGACTTTACTCGTGCCAGCTTTCATTCAGACGCCAAACATTTGATAGTATAAATTAAATCTACATTTCTGAGTTATTTCTGAGGAAATCTAAAATCACGTTAAACAAACTACGTATCAAAGAATTGTAACACCTCAAAAAAGCTGAGTCACAAAACTGACAATGGTATCTTGTGGAATTTCATCTCAGCCTTGCTGTAGCTGACGACGAAGTTCCTACAAGGTATCCCACACATGCTCAATCGAGTTTAAATCCGATCAGGCCAGGAGAGATTTTGTACTCCTTCTTCGTGTAGCAAGTTCTGATAGATATGGGCGATATCAGGTCGGGTGTTATCTTGCTGGAACATGATGTCATGGCGTTCGTTTAGCCTGAGTATTACAACGGGCTGTAAAACCTCGTGGATGTATCGGTTTGCATATAAACTGCCAGGGATGACAACTAGAGGTGACTGATACCCCACACCATAATACCAGGTGTTTAGCCGCCCTAATCTATACTCATCTTTTTCGAGATGTTGCAATTTCTTTAGCACGTAATATATACTTAAACTAAGAATATGATTTTTTTTAACTTTTAGGTTCCACAAAACAGGGAGAGTTTAAACGAATCAGACGTATTAAGCATGCTGTGTACATGTGATTCAGGTACATTCAGCTTGGTACCGATTCTTAGAAATCTAGAGCAACCGGTTTGGAATTCCACGCGCACACATTTTACAACAGACTTTACCTACTCTTACGTCTTATTCATTCTTTTGATCATAATTTTCTTTATTTATTGTTTATTGTTGGCGTTCGCCGGAAACAGAGCAAGACCAATGGTGCGTTGCAAATCCTTTTTTCTTTTATATCTAATTTCACTTTGTAGATTTTCCTTTGCTTTACTTGTGATAGCAATAAATCCGACAGATATGGATATTTAATAGCTGTTAAAACTTCAAGTTTACAAAACTCTGGGACTACTTCGAACGTAATAATAAAATTACATGGACGGAAAGCAAATAGTCTGGTAAGGTTATATATCTGTTTAGTATTTATATCAAAAATTGTTTTAAAAATATTTCCTGACATCACACTCACCTACTAGGCATTTGTTGTCGCTCCAACACTTCATCAAGCAGACAAGGTATGTCTTGTTTTAGCGCATTCCTTCCATAGTTTAAGAGTTCTCGCTATTATTTATGTATGGCTTCATGCACTTCAAATTGGGTTGGGTTGGTATTTCTAGATTGTCCTATCTCATTTCAAAGTTCTCGAAGTATTCGGCCCAGCGGTTCAATACCTTCAAAGGATTCCCAATAAGCTTGTCGTCCTTGCTCTCAATCATTACTGCCTTGGTCAGAAACAATTATTTAGGCTATAGTTTATACTATAGTCTGTACAGCCTTTTGAATTTAAGTCAACCTCGCCCTTAACGAATTACAAGCGTACTACTCTACATTGATCGGATTACAAACCACACGTCGCTAACCCATAGAACTTAATCATAGCTATCAGACCAACTGCTTTGTGGATTGCAGAAACGTATGTGTGGTAGGACACAGCGACTTACCCATTTTGTCAGAATTCACCGATAAATGTCGCAATACGCATTCTGATACTCCTTGCACAGCACGATTCGAATACGACACGAAAATCCAAGCACTTCACTGCATGGATGTGCCACGTTAACTAAGGGGAGTGCATGCATGATCTTGTATTGATCATGACGAAACAATTCCGAATGATTGAAGTAGCATGTATGTATGGTCTTGCATTCATACAAGGTGTGTCGAACCATCTCCTCGCTCTCTTCACAGAGGCGACAGAGAGGACTAACAGCAAGCTTAAGGTTATAAAGACCCGTGACGAGTCAGGTTACAGTTCGTAGAGCGTTTCTACCGAGCCTTACGAAAGACAAGACTGCCTCTGCTGAGGGATAATGTAATACTTCCTTAGACAGATGGCAGCCCTTAACCCTATCCCACCAGTTCATGAACATTTTGTGGGTAAAATCTTTAATTATCTCAATCTGAGTTGATAAGGACGGAGCGATTATCGGTTCAGGCGAACATGGCGTTCGCTTGGCAGCCCTTTTGGCAAGCCTATCAGCGTGCTTGTTACATGAACAAGTCGAGTGTCCTTTTGTCCATTGGAGTATAACATAGTTATGCACTGCGGCCTTCTCCAATGTCAGATGACAACCCATAACATGTCCTGAGCTAATTGTTATTCTACTCAGGGCTAAAATAGCTTGCTTACTGTCAGTGTAAAAGTCTTACCTACCAAGTTGGATCTGACAATAACGTCAGCTATATTTCTTCGTAAAAATGTGTTGTAGAGAATGGCATTTTTACTATATCTCTCACCCATTAGAATTCCTGCTGCTCGCAGTCGAATCATGGCCACCTCTTGAATAAACACACTGGTGCAGGAGGAAACTTCCTCCACGTTTATCGTTTTCTATGGCGAACGCTTTTTTTTAACTCCGCTAATTTTCCTTTATAAAGTTTCCAGTCGGAGTCTAATTTTGAGTTTTTAGCTCTATTAAAGGCTGTTCTTGCCTCCTTTTTGAGTTCGTCGAGCTCAGTGCACCACCAAATAGTAGCACGCCCAGAGGCGGCCTCTGATCGGAGGAGACAGGCCTTTTTTTAAAACTTTAATTAAGGAATCACTAATAGTATTTAAGTACTCCTCAACTTCAAAGCTTTTAGTTGGCTTACGCACCCAATATCGCTCAAACACCCAGTTAGCAAGTATCATGTCACCCGGGGAACATGAGAATTGTCTGGAATTCGAAAATGAACATGAGAAGATGGAGAATATCGGCTGTATTGCCAAAATGTCTTCGAACATAGTTAGACCCTCAAGGGCATGTGGAAAATCGCTACAACTTGGTGCAAGGGAATTGAAAGCTGGCCTCATCGCCTAGATTCATGCGTGTGCACGACAATTATTTTACAAAAATTAGCTCTTGTCAGTCGTAAAATCGTAAGTAGCAATATAATATCTAAACAGTATAATATGAAGAAAACAAAATGTATGGTAATATCCAAAGAACCAAGACGATGTAAGTTGCAAATTGAGAACTCAATAATAGAACAGGTCATGCATTTTAAACATCTAGGTCTTGAAATTACAAGCCATTCTGATGTATCTAGATAAACACAAGGACAAGTCACAGAAATGACACGGGTAGCGAGTTGCCTAAAGGATACTGTATGGCGAAACAAATACATGCGTGTAGAATGAAAAACGAAAGTATGTAAGGCTATGGTACGACCCATACTAACATATGGCACCGAGACGACAGCAGAGACAAGGAAGACTAAGCAAAAGACTTTTTTTTGTTGATATTATGCATAGCATTATGCATGATCCTTATGTTCGAAATTTGGAGCCGTGGTACTCCGAAAATGGATTCCCTTAAGTACGCGAGGTTGGGATAGTCACAAACAATATGAACGGTAAGTCATATTTGTCACCTATTTCACACCCTCTACAGAAGAGTGTATTCGCCAGCTTCATGTAAAATATGTGCTTACGTAACCTGCAGTGTCCGGTCAGCAAGTGGGTGAGAAGCCAAGTCACTTTTTGATTTTACCAGAAACTGAGTATCTCTTCCGGTCAGGGTAGAGCAGAGTTTTCTTAGCAAAGACACCTGCTAAGACCTCGCAAAAAGCTCGATGGGAGATGGAGGTTATCAGTTTTGATGCTGTATTAACAGATAGTAGTACAAACGGTTCAGGGGAGATCGGTGACTTGTTAGCCGCCCGTTTCGCCAGCCTGTCCGCATGATCATGTCCTTTAATTCCGATGTGTCCTTTTCGCCACTTTATCGTGACGTTGTTGTATGCGTTTGCCTCCTCGAGTTATTGCCGACAGGACTTCATTAACGATGATGCAGTGTGGTGCCTACCAACCGCCAGCATAGCCTGTCTGCTATCAGTGCAGATTACAACGTTTCTGCCGACTTTTTTGGAGTCGATGATGGCATCGGCTGTTATGTTTATAGCACTTAATTCGGCTTGAGCAGTCGTGCAATACAATCCTAACGAAGTGGAAAGGTGCAGCCGCTCCGGAACCTCCAGCCTTCTTTGATCCATCAGTGTAAATGGTCAGCGTTTTTCCCGAGCTTGAGTTGCTCTGGGGTATCGTTTCAATGTCAAAGTGTGGCTTGCCTAAGAAAGTAGGTGTAATGTAGTCTCTGCGAGCGTTAAGACGGGGTTGTTTACTAATAGCCTCACTCCAGAACTTGCTCCGGATCCATCTATGGTCAGACACTGACGCATCCTGGCAGACATACCACTTGCTAATCTTTTGCGATACGTTCGCCGATGCCAAGGTCAAATCTATAATCATCTGACATCTAGCATTGACGAACGTGGGTGCACAGCCTCGGTTAATTATTTCCAAGTCATTACTCGTAATAAATTCAAGCAAGGTCTTACCTCTAAAGTTTCCTTCGTCACATCCCCAGGCAACAGAATGAGCGTTGGAGTCGCAGCCTACAGTGAGTAGCCATTTATTTACCTGGCTAGCGTTGACTAATGTTGTCAAGGCCGCAGTAGGAGAAATCTCTTCTATAGACAGGTAGACAGATGCTAGAGTCAGCGTCGTTTTCTTCTTCGCTAGGAAGCATTGAATCTTGACTACAACGGAGTTCTGATTTGATTCCATGTAGTGATGAATAAGCGTCTTCGTATTTTATTCTAAAATATCGATCAGAAAGATACGATTTTAATAGTTGACGTATTTGGTCTAGTTTGTAATTTAAACCATCTAACCAGACTTTGTCGAAAGCTTGTGCAACATCCAAAACTAGGGCGGAGCAGACTTAATTTTTTTTCTATTGCTATTTCAATAGTATTCGTTATTCTATGCACTTGGTCTATTGTTGTATGTTTATTTCGAAACCCAAATTGATGTGTTGTTATTAGGGCTTTTTCTACTATGACAAATTTTAGTCTTTTTAATAGTAATTTTTCAAGTAGTCTGATAGTAAGGGTAATAATGAGATTGGCCTATATGATGTAACATCTGTGGGGGGTTTACCAGGTTTTGGTATCATTATTATTTCAGCAACTTTCCATATACTTGGGAAGTATTTCTGTTTAAAAGCAGCATTCATTGTGTGTAATCGTAGTAATAGTTTTGTATTAATAATCAGTATCTGTTGGCCAGTAAGTTGGCTTACCAGTGGAGAGTACCACACAATGTAGGGTCTCTATTGCATGTTTCAGTTCTCTTCCTTTTGTATTTGTCAAGCGAGAACCCCACGACATATGTTTTGCATTAAAGTCTCCGTGAAGTATAAATATGCATTCAAGATGTAGTAGAATTTCCGATAGTCTTCTCTTTTGGGATTATGTCTCGGCGGTATGTACGTTGTTGCTGCTGACATAAAGCCATTAGCAGTTAAGCAGCAGTAACTTAAGCCACTGTAGTTTGAGGTTGTTCAGTACTAATTGTATTGTTTAAATAGTTGTCAATATTACTTTTAACGATTTCGTGTAAAGTACGTTTCGGAGATAAGACATATATCAATATTGTTTTCTTTGAGTATTATTGGTAGTGTATTTTAATGCTGTCGAAGACCATTGGAATTCCACAGCATTATTTTTAGTTGCTGCTTTTTAGACATTTTGATGTCTTTTTTGAATCTCCTTGGTTTAAGTTGTTTTCAATGAAATCTAGACGTGCATATAATGTTTTTATTGTTTCTTCTTGTTGAAGTATGTTTTCTAGTATTAGATCTAATTTTACTTATAGTTTTCTCTGCAGTTTCATCACTCGCTTCTTCGGTATACGAGACGCGTTACTTTCTATTATTTGAATTTACTGTTTTCTTATTCCTGATGGCTTGTAGTTCCTTAATCACAATGCATCCTCGGTAATTCACTGGATGATTTTCTCCACAGTTGAAACATTTAGCCGGGATTTCTTTGGCTTTACTGCATGCGCTGGTCCAATGTTCAGCAGCGCATTTAACACATCTCGGATTTTTGTGTTCCAACCTTGGCACCTATTGGATTGGGGCTTTCTGTACTCTTCAATTTTGACACGCATTCCTAATATGTTTGTTATTTCATGGATTCTTTTTACATCTTCTGACGGTGCAAAATCCAAGATGTATAAAGGAAAAGACTCTTTTGTTTTGTATTTTTAAGATTTGGATTATTTTACAAATGTTATAATTGCGCTCCAATAGTTCATCTTTGATATCATTAACATCACAGCTTTTATGCATCTTTTTAGCTACCACTTTCAGATTTCTGGTTTACTTATTTTCATAAGTGGACCAGGACAAATTCTTTTCAGTAAGTATCTTTGATGCTTCTCTGTACTTTTGTTCCAAATTAAGATTCAGTTTTACTGTGCCGTTATTTAGCGCATGTGTTAAAAACATACACAACCCTTCTTTAAATGCATCCCAGCATTACATCAACAGTTAATTGATGTACCAACATAAGATGACACTTCTTTATCATCTTAATAAAAAATAATTTTTATATCCCACAAACTATTTTTATGTTTCAGCCTTACGTATTAAATTATCCAGATCCGGATTTACGATTATTACAGCTCGGCGGTGATGATTATTTTGTTATAGCAACTGCAGAACATTTAGGTGATTTACGTTACATTGAATTGTGGACGGATGTGATCGGTTATAATTCTTGTTGGTAATAAACAACACGTTAATAATATTTAAATCGTTTAATTTTATGCTTTAATTTGAAGGCGTTGCGAAAACGTTCGCGTTTTCGACTTGAGACGCAACAAAAAATGGTACTTTGATGTGCAGAGAACGTTTGCGCTCAGAGATAAAATGGACTGTTATCACAAAACTTATGTCACTACGAAAGTTGTGCCAAGGAGGAAAGTTCGAGATGTTATTCAATATGTCGGTTTGCATTTTGGACCATATCATACGTTTAATATTTTTGATCCGTAAGTTTGAAGTTTATTTATTTTTATTTAATATTTTCAAGTTATTTTCTAGTGCCCATGATTACCAGTTTGGATACTTATTTCGATTAACACTTGTGGCATCTCATATTTTAATGGCTTTGTCTTTAAGTGTTATGTTTATTTCCTTTCCAAGAATGCAACCAAGAGACGTTTTAGGAATTGACTATTATGCCCACATACTGTACTTTTTGATGTATGTTTTTGTTATAGGGCTTATATGCTCTATAATACATTTTACTTTGGCAGTTCTTTACAGGTAAAAAATTTAAAAAAATAAATAGAATATCATTCATATTTTTTTTAGAAATACTTCTGGGTACGGATTATTAAAAACAAAAACTGAATTATTTCCAAAAATTGTATCGAGAATTTTATGGTAAGATTTTTAAAGGATTTCTTAAGTTCACAGTAAAATAATTGTGGATATTTAGGATTATTTTAGTTATCTTTATAACACTTTCGATGGCTTACTTATTGATATTTGGATGGTGGGTATCTCCAGTAGCTTTATGCTCAATGATAATGATATTCACACTGGTGCTTCTCCTAAATATAATTCTCCTAGAAAATTTGTACATAAGTATTTACTTATTATACAAGTCATTTAGACGACTCAAAGTAAGTAGAGCTTATAAAGTCTAACATTACGCTTACGTCTAAATCTATCTTTACGCTAAATACATTTAATTTTTGCGTGTTTTTAATCTAAAATCTAGAAAATGCATTGAGTTCCAGAAAAAGTAGTGACTATGAAACCATTTTTTTCTAAATTAGAGAGAATATGTCTAAAATGTCAGCTAATAGTATAACAAGCCACTTTAAATCGAGGCATCCTACCGTGCTAATAAATAGACGAGTAAGAAGCACTGACGTGATCCCAGGATCTTCCAAAATGCTTGTAATCTTGAGCACTCATATGTATCTGACATGATGAGCAGATGAGATTTAAAGCAAAAAATTACGGCTACGGTGAAATATAACTGCAGCAATTAAATTATGTAAATGGTGCCATATAATGTATTTTGCTCATTCTTTAAGTTAGACAATAATTATTAAATCCAAGAATGAAGAAATTTGGCTTATATTCAAAAAATAAGGCAACATAAACCCTATGCGCAGAGTTTACTTACGGATTCTTGAATATTTTGGTACTATAATAATGCTTCCTAATTGTAAGCAGATATTGAGGAATAAGCTTCAAAGCTCAAATTTGTACAAATACAAACTCAACTGCACTTCGAAAAAGTAGATACTTATTTGCAACAACACTTATCTGCCACCTCTGTTCCTTGTTTATTATATTATGAGCTATTTATTTCTAACTTAATCTACTACATTTGCATAACAATATACTTATCCTATGATAGTCGTTTTGTTTTGGTTCAGCCATTCTTATATCTATCATTACTTCCATGTGCAAGGTTTTTGTCGCTTTCACTATACCAGTTCCAATGATTTTAAAATATGGCATGAGATATTTTGATTTTAATATTGGTCTTGATTTCCTTTACAACTTCAGCTACAAATGCTTTGTTTTGCTCCTCAATGCATTTGTACCTATAGTGTTCTTTGGATTGGGTTGAAACATAATTTTCAGATAATCTGCGAATCTTGAATCTTTTTGTTCATTATTTCTAGGCCCAGCTATCGTCATCATTGTTGATCGGAGGTGTTCTAGACTTTTGGTCAATCTCCATAGCGAATATTCAGTGCTGTAGTCATTATTAGTAAGTCTAAGAAGGACTTCAGTGGTGGTCATGATTGTTTCATTTTTTAACTTTTAACATTATTTAACAATTATTTTGTCTTGTGGTGCCATTTCTTCCTGGCCCTTCTTTTCTCTAATAGTAGATGGAGGATTATAATAGGATAGATTGCCTTTCAGGTTTTTTCTCCTTTCTGGGATGTTTTTCCACGCTGAATATTTGATTTCTTCAATCAGTTTCTCCACCTTCAGAATCCAATAGTTTATTTCCAATAGTAGTCTTCAGTGGTTCTGCCAGAGTAATTCTTTTTACTAACGTTATTTTAAACCGTTCCCGATTACTCGATTTTCAGGAATATTTACTTAAAGTTAGTACAATAAGTGAGTAATCCAAGTTTAGCTTAAGGTTATCTTCGATTTACATATATGGTAATTGATTGACACGTTTTTGATGATGTAGAAATCTATCAGATGGGATCTTATCTGGGTATGTTGGCAAATATAGGTATAGTAGATTTGCCTATTGATAAAGTTTCACATCCTTGTGTTTGAACAGCTTTTTTCAATTCTCTACCTTTGGTGGTGATTTGCCTCATACACACATTGGGGTGTGTTTTTCATTATAATCACCACTGCTTATATTCTTCACAATTGATATTATGCTTTGGCAGGTATGAGTCGTTATGGGCAGCGAGAGAGGGAGGAATACTACAGAAGATATTCCACGGAAGAGGGAAACAGGAAAAGAATGGAGGGGATTGAGATGTGGAAATAACTGGAGAGCAGGGATGGGGATGTGGATATGCAATAGAAAGAGAAGATAAGGAAAAGTAGGAATAATGGGAATAACCCAAAATATGGCGACATTATAGCGGAGTGGCTACCGAAGTACCTGATGACGGAGGAGTCTGAGGAGGGGAAGAAATTGGTAGCCAGGTTTAGATGTGGCAATGAAGAAAGGGCCAATATATATTGGATGGAGGATGAGTCGCTACACCATCTGTTGGTGAAGTGTAATGAACTGAGGGATGAAGTGATGGATTGGAAGCAGGTGCTGGGGGAAAAGAGTAGGATTTACATTAATTATTGGTGTTGTTTCTAAATATTGTAAGCTTCTGGAAACAATAAATTATTATTATTAAGTTGATTTGGTTTCTGTATATGTCACCTGGTGACCTCCACATATAGAGTTGTCTTATCTAATCGAACACGCCCTTCATCGGACCCCAACAATAAGCCACCTAAAACAAATAATCAACAATTGGGAGGTCTCAAAGGTAGCCTTACGCTGGAAAGAACTTCCAGGTCACAGACAAGCGAAGAGTATGATAACTCCGTCCAAAACAAAACCAAAGAGGTTTTATGCCTCAGCAAAGGAGATCTAAGGACGCTCTCAGGTTACCTGACCGGCCATGGGCCCCTAAAATACCACCTCTTCCACATTGGACAAGCTGAGGATCAAACTTGTCGACTTTGCAACGAGGAGTCAGAAACAGCTGAACATATACTGTGCAACTGCGTCGCCAGAGGCCGTCTAAGACACAACATTTTCGGTAAAACTCTCTTGACACCTACCGACATAAAGGTTCAAGGGCAATACTAAGGTTCATCAAGGACCTACATTTACCCTAAACCTTTGGAGGGCTAAGGTACAATAGATCTTATAGGTCGCGGTAACGAGAGGGGCCGCTCCCCTCAGCCCGGCAGCAATAATAATAATATGTGATGAACAAATAGAGTATTTGTCACTATCAGTCCGTTTTTAAGCAGAACTGAAGCATCTTGTCGCCCCACCACTGTTCATAGATGGTCACGGTCTTCCGCTTGCCCAATTTGGCGTTCATGTCGGCTTGTATCATAGTAACTTCCTTTTCAGGACGATTCGGTTTCTTTAGTTGTAAAAAGAAGTGGTCGCTGATTTCTTCTGATGCGTCAGCTTTTAGGGTGTATAGTTGGATTAAATTTAGACTGTATGGTTTTGCTTGCAGCTTGATTGTATGTATTCTATTACTTATATAGGATTGTATCCAAGCACGGAGTACTACATATGATGTGAGATTATTAGTGCTATGGTTTCCGAGTCATTTCCTCAGAAAAATACGGTGTTTTCCGTTCTTGATATAAAATGACCCAATACTTTGATGTTGCACGTCTTTGCTTGCTTTTCCGCTATATGTATATAGACCCTCTTTGGAGTAGGCCTCTCACGTTCCAGGTGCCTAACTTGATATTTCTTCTTAGGTTTACACTTTCTTTTATTTAGATTCAAAAACCGCAATGAAATTCTCTTGAAAAAAAATAATTAAAGTGGTTTTCGTTGCCTTCTTTCATGGTTTATGTTGTGTGTCTTAGGGCCGGTTGTACCACCTCTTGATAAATTTATCCGATAGATAAATTGGTGCACTTAGGTCCATTACTACCATTTTTTAGTTAAATTTATTTTATAGATAAACCCATCTACTAGCCAATAAGAGCGCATGAAATAGCCGTAACCGTAGTAATAATCCCTTAGATAGCTTAACCAGAAGATGGTAGTAACGAGCCTAAGGCTTTATTTTACACGCTCTGATTGGCTAGTAGATGAGTTTATGTATAAGATAAATTTAACTATAAGATGGTAGTAATGGACCTTAACACCAATTAGAGCGCTTAAAACCGCTGTAACCATGGTAATTATCCCTTAGATAGTTTATCAGGAGGATGGTACACAATCGGCCCTTAGTCTTTTTTTATAGCCTCTATTTACAACGTTTATCAGTCTCTTGACTATGTCGTTGGTTCTGTATCTGCAGTGTACCTCGATGGGTACAGTTTCTTTCAACAACTTGGATATTCTTTCTTCTAGCAATTCGCACAGTGGCTTCTTCTCTATCCAGCTATCTAGCTTCCAGCCAAGACAAGGCTTTCTGGCGTACTATGGAGTATTCGTTGCTGAACGTAGAATTCTATTTCCAAACTATTCCAATTTCTTCACATTCTCATGACTTCTCAAGATTTCTACTCCATATGTCAACTGCAGCGTTATTATGGTTTCTATTATCCTTACCTTTGTTGTTGCTGGAAGCGGCGACTGTCCTCTTATCACGAAGTATAGCTTGTTTGCCGTTCTTCGCGCAATGCTTCTTATTTTCCCCGTTAATCATTACTCCAAGGTATGTGATGTCTCTCTTCATCTCTATTCTTTTCTGGACGAATAGTTTTGGGAAGCATCATGAGTGCCTTGTTTGGGATACCATCCATTCCCAGCTGGTTTGCTAGGATTTAGCATGTCTATGTTCATGTTAATTTCTTCATCCGTAATCTCCAGTGTTTCCGGATTTCCCACCGGGATATTGTTCAGCGCTGCATTTACTTTCTTCTGGATATCATCTTCCTGTTATCAAATTGTGATTCCACGTGATCTGTCAGAAGCTCCGCTTTCTCCTGGTCGTCGAATATCAATTGACCTGCCGGACTTTTTAATGGCGCTTTGGATTCTGGCTTCCTTCTTATCTTCTTCAGGAGCTTCCACAGGGACTGATTAAGGTCTTCTCAAGGAGGGTCTTGTCCCACATTTTCACCTTATATTCATCTACCATTTTCTTAGCTGTCTTCTGCAGCTGATTGTACTCCTTTTTGTGTCACAGATCTCTCGTTTGGCTCCATCTCTTTTTAGGGCTAGTTTTCTTTCTTCCGTAGATAGACCTAATTTGTTTTCCTATGTCGGTGGAAAATTTACTTTTGCTTCTTCGATAGCTTTCTTAACAGCGGCATAAAGTCAAAACTCATTTCGCCAAATTCGTTAATGTCCAATGCCATTTTGCTGTCCGAAATTGGCTTCACTTCCTCTGCTGGGGTTTGCGCCTCCTTCTCTTTGTTCTTCTCTTCGCCTTCGATGAACCTTGTCAGGTCGCGGAACTTCACTCCGTGCCTCGTCAAATTTCCTATCAAAATTTTCCTTTTCCCAAGGAAGTTTTTTTATTAAATTTTGATTGATTACACTTATAATTTTTTATAAACAAGATTTATTATTTTTTACAGAGAATCGATATATTCGGAAAATTTAATTTTGGTAACATCGTACTAGAAGTTGAAAATCAACGTCGATTTTTATACAGGCGTATAAATGTTTGGAGCGTAAGACCATTTTTAAAACATCTTTACAGGCCACTTTCAGACGCTCTGTTAAAAGTATTCTTTAAACTTTATTTACATTTATTGTTTATTATGAAGATATTTTCATTAACATATTTAAGGAACGTCGGCAAATAGATCAACTTCGACAGAACTTACGATCTCTTTTATCGAATATCGTCTTGGTTATTCTATTAGGAATATTTTTTCTAATTTTAACCCACCTTCAAACGTCTGATCAATCCGCACTCATGACCAAACACGTTGAAGAAATGTTTATTGACGGGAAATTTGTTGCGACCGGAATGAAAGCGGAAAATGTTTTTGCTATGGAAGAGTAAAATTATTATTAATTTAAAACTTTTCAATTGTATTTAATCACATTCATTTAATTTAGTTTTTATTTGTATTTGAACAAGACAATTATACCGACTTCGATATCAAAGCATTGGTATGGTAGATACAAAACCGAGGACCCCGCTTTAACAGCGGATTTTCAAACAAAACTTACCACTATAGTTAGAATTAGAAAAATTATGGCCAAACTCATAAAATGTCCTGATGAGAGTTTGGCGAAATTGTTTTACGTAAAGGAATGTTTACCATACTGGTCAGCTAATGTCACAGATACAACCGGATACGATGAAGGGACGTCGATGTTTAATTATCAAATTCAACAATATCAACATCGATATTACCGTAAGATCATTTTAGTTTTATTTACTTTTAAGAAGATAATAACTCCTCTCCTAGTATAATTCACTTCCTAACTCTTGGTTACGTGTTCGACAAATAAATATAAGACAAAAATGGGTAATACTAATATCCTAAAAATGAAGCCGTTGTCAGACAAAATGGCAAAGAACTTTTGTTTCAGCATCAACCCAGCAACCACCATTTTCCAGCTCCTTCTCAGTCTCCCTCTCCTCCATCGTGTTTCCATTCTAGTATTCCAGACTTCTTTACCTGATCTGATGGCATTCTTTGAACATGTCCTCATCATGTAATCTGTTGTATTTTAGTACTGGCACAATATTTAACTTTTGTCTGGTCCCCCTCTTCTTTATTTTATCGATTTTTTACTCCTAAAACCCGCCTCTCTCTGTAGCGTGAATCTTACTTTTCTCCATATTGGGTAACGTCCAAAATTCACATCCGAAATCAATGCAGGTATAGATATCATTTTGAAAACTTTTGGTTTTGTTTCTTTGGCTACCTCCTTGCTGTTTTCGATATCTAGATTTCGTTCGTTGTCCGCCAACACTACCACATCATCTGTGATTCTACATAGTCCCACATATATTTTTGCAGATATCAGTGTACTATTAGCATTTTTCTGGTGTTTTTATTATATTCCTGTATAGTGTCGACCGTAAATACCGTGAACAATACTGGGCTCACAATCACTGCTCCTCCATGGCCTAAACCTTTATGGGTCGTGTTAATTCAATCGATTTTTTGTTATTACTTACTACCTAGTTCCTTACTTTGCCTTGTTCTTATATACACTTACAATCACTCTCACTAATTTAATGTTTACTTTTGTACGTTGTATACTCTGCCATACTTTCTCTCTAGGTGTTCTATCGAGAGCTCTTTCACGGTCCAGAAAAGCCATCTGCTTCTGCCTTGAGCCTGTATTTTTCTGTCAGCTGTTTTATAGTAAATACATCTTCGTGAGTACCTCTCCCTTACTTGAATTCACTTTGCAATTCGAATAATGTTGTTTTAGAGGATAAGGTTATTCCTCTATAATTTGAGCAATCTTTACTGTCTCCTCTTATATGTAATGGCAGTATGTATCCTATTTCCCAGACTGTCAGTATTATTTCTTCTGTCCATGCTTTTTAAATACCTCTACGCCAGCTTATTAGAAAAGTGGGTGATTTTTTTGTTTTGTTGTTTTCAATTCATTTTAAAATTCTCAGTGTCTTTTGCTTCCATATTTCTTTACGAGCTTTATATTTATTTGTGTTCACACTTCCAGAAATTCATCTTTTCATATTCTTTTCTTCCTGTGTAAATGTTCGTTGTGATATTTTTCGCGTTCATGGTTTTAAGTTGATTAAAAAATACCTTATGATATTCCCTTCTACAAGTCTTAACTTTCTCTTCGAAGCGCGTACCTTCTTGTTTTTTCTTTCCTCTATCTTACCATCCGGATGGTAGTAAATACGAGACGTGATTTGTGTTCTCTAAGACGCTTTGCATGAAATAATAAAGGAACTAATGCCAAAACAGCGGAAGATTAGAGTTAGGGCTAAATGATGAAATGCAGGGTTGGAAACATAGTCTTGGTTGAGATAACCGTTGGTTTACTATTGACAACTTCGTTTGAAGATACTTACTGATTAGGTTTTCTTGAGCTTTGGAGCTATTCTCAAGGTGATCTGAGGTTATGTTGGGTTGGTCATGAGATTGCTTAGTTTGTTTTCCAAAGCATCCCAAGTTCCGCAAAGCGTGGTTGGGATTCCCAACCCAACCCAACTACGCCGCTTCATGTTTGAATTACTTTTAATTGGGTTGGGTTGATTTGTTTTCGAGTAGCATTTCTTTGAAGCTGGATTTCTGATTAACTTACTTTTGTTGATTGACAAGCTTTTCGATTAGCGATGTTTTTACATTGGCTTTGGATAGACGGTTCATTTATGGGATAGCATTACTTGGGAGTTGAGTCAACTTTTTTTGGATTTCACTTACTTTATGGTTAAGTTTTGTTGAAGCTTGGGTTGGCTTACTATGAAGTAACATTAGGTTGGGTTGGGTTGAGTTGAGTCAACTTCATATGCAGGTGGCTTACTTTCTAATAAAGTTTCTTTGAGACTTGGATTGGCTTGCTTTGAAGTAACATTAGGTTGCTTAGGAGGTAAGTTATCCTACCGCGAATTTTAGTCGAAGGTCACTATTATTGGCGTTCAATCCGCGGAGAGATCTTATAATTAACTTATATCAGAGTTAGAGCCTATTGACGTAGACTCTTGGAGTCGTATTTAGGTAAAGTACTTCAATTTGCCGAATTCAAATGACGATCCTCCTCCTAGAACCTCAAGGTCAAACCCAACCTAAACCAACCTTGACTTTTACATTCCCACGTGAGATTCGCCAATCAGTCTATTACTACAATCTATTACTTGTAGGAAAAAAGTTATAACATATGTTATAAAACGAAAGAATATATAATTTTATTGGACTTAATATTAAATAACTCTCCAGAATTAATGGTAGATTGTTATAAAAATAAAACTGATAACTAGTAATAATATTACAGTAATATGAAGTCGTTGCTATTTCGTTCATGTCTTTACTATTTTTTCAAGATATTTTCTCTGCCAAGTATCTATCTTCTCTTTACAGTCTCCGTTCAGTATTTTTCTTCTGCTATCAGGTGCCATCTTTTTTGTTCAGTGTCTTTCTTCTATTACCAGTCTCTTTCTAGTCCCCTTCCACTCTGCCAAGTCTCTTTCCAGTCTCCGTTCAGTATTTTTCTTTTACTACCAAACCTCTTTATTCTTAGCTCAGTGTCTTTCTTTTAGTACCAGTCTCCTTTCAGAACCGTTCTTCTCTGTCCAATCTCTTTCCAGTCTCCATGCAATATTATTCTTCTACTATCAGTCTCCTTCTCTGTTTACTGTCATTCTTCTATTACCAGCCCCTTCTTTTTTGATTAATTTTGTTCAGTGTTTCTTTATGCTATTTTTTCTTGCATCTATGGCAAAACGTAATCAATTATCGACTTTTTCCCTCTACATGGTTTTTCTCTGGTATACTAACCTTTGTGTTTGTAAAATGAGTTTGTTATTGACATGTCGCTAAATAGATAAAATCCAGCATGTGCTTCCCGTTTCCATTTTACTTATATTCTCCATGCATTCCTGTCCATGTCTTATGTGTGCTGTCTCTCTTTCCAACTACTTGATGCGACACTTTACCCTAAAATACAGTTTTTTGCGCTTTACGCCCCATATACCATTGTACACCTTTGTTGTATCTTTGTTGGTTGTTCATGAACGGATTTGTAGCATGCTTTGTTATTCAGAGACAATCTTTTAGTTTCTTGCAAGGTCTTCTCCATTATGCCTCGTGTTATCCCATAACCCTCCTTAGATATGTATAGTTTGCACTTTTCTCTATTTGTAAAAAACTAAGTCTCACATCCAAACTTAAATATTGGTCTATATATTACTTTGTATGTAATTCAGCTTCGTCATCTCCGTTGATACGTCTCTGTTGTTAAAAAATAAATCATAATAAAGTCTTGTCGTCTTCTCTATCTTTGAGTTAATCTCGCTTGTTCAAATTCTTCTTCCAATTCATTCTCTTTGTCATATTCTCTGCCCATTCATTTCCTTTAACTTTACCTTTTCCTTGTTATTATTCTTTCAACCTTCTCTTCATCACTTATATTTAGTATTTTGAATTGCCTTTGTTGTACTTTTCCCCTTTCCTCCATGACTTCCGTGTATAGTCAACCAACATTCAAGGAATATTGGTTTATCGAACGTATCGTTTTTCACCTTTCTTCTATTTCTCTAGTATTTTAATTAATACTGAAGAATTTATAGAAAACATGTTTTCTCATATTCATTTCTTTTTTTTTTTTAGTTTCCATTGATGAACTCTCGAAACTAGGAGGGTCTCGATATATATAAATAAATATTGTATTTTTGAAAAATAGACCTTATTTTTGATATTAGAACCCATATTCCAAGGCTGAGAGTGAATAATAACTAGTATATAAGTTAACATAATCGAAAACAGAAAATAGCTATTTAGTAATAATTCATACTTTATTTTTCTTTAGCTTTTATGGAAAATGCTTATGAATCAGGTGGTTTTATGGTTCCATTAGGACGAACTCTACCAAACAGCTACAATACATTAGTGACTCTTAACGATAGTTTATGGTTTATGAATGAAACAAGAGCATTTTTTATTGAGTTTCTACTTTTCAATGCAAACACGGGACTATTTATCGATGTTAGAATATTATTTGAGAGGGGGCCGTCGAAGTTTATCATTTTAACAGAACGGGTAATTTAATTTTATTTTATAAAACTTTACAAATGTTCAATCCGTCCACTATGAAATCTCAGATATAATAAGAGACAAATTAATGTTACAATTCTTGAAAAAAATGTATTTCGGTTACTTCCAGTACACCCGATAAGCCCCAGAAATTATTCGGCTTTAAAAAAATTATTCTTATTGGTACTAAAGATTTTTGAAGGTCCTTTAGCTGAAATGCTTTTACGAACAAATTATGCATGTAATAGCATTATGACAAGCGAGCGGTAAAATGTTAAGCGACTGTTGTAACTATGCCAATGATCCATCACAATACTATGATGGAATATCTTTGTTATGTGTCCATCATAGTATCATGGTGGATATCATAGGTAAAATTAAGATCCTTATTGTGTAGATATGAATGACGTGGTCAATAAGAAATAGATCGAATATAAGAAAGATGGCAAAAAACAGTATCTTGTTCTGGATTCCTGAAAGTTTACTGATATTATCGAGGAATACCAAAAATGTTGGAACCGATTAATGTAGACGACGGTCTTATATTTTTGTTCGGTGTTTAGTTGATTGTGGCGTAACGTATCTGATATCAGCAATTACCAATGAAATCATAGTAATTTTCATCCAAGCCATCGTGACCGTGGTTATCTTGTTTTTGGCTATGTTGTGATGCTTATTGAAAAAGTTTAGGTGCATTTCAACGATGTAGAGATGAACCCATTCTCCAATGAAAAATATACTTGACTAGATTAAGCAGTCACTGTGAAATATATTTTAAAATCAAAAGTAATAGCATGAACCTGTTGTGAAATGTGTTGCTTATATCAATTTAGTGATGAACGAAAATATGTGCTAGAGCGCCGATTATTATGAGAATCTTAATGGCCGTGGTCGAATTTAATGAAAATCGCGAAATTGGGAGCATTATTGTACATGAACAGAAGTTGTCACCAATAAATGGGCCGAAGTGTTTAGCCAAAAATTTTTCTACAATATACCGAGCCGCGTTTAGATTGCCGTTGATAAAGCAAAGCCCCGTACGTGCTTCGAAGCAAATTTCTCCCCAAACCATGACAAAGTCTTTCGGATAAGTTGCACTAAGCATAACGCTCCGTCTTGCTCAGCTCCAAACTTTTATCTCAAGTACTGTGGTATGTCGATTTCTTAACACGGTTGTTACAATATATCAATCATTACGGGGTTGTGCGTCTTCTTCCTGACCCAGGTCTGATGAAGGTGCTAGTCTGCCGAAATCTTAGAATGGAGCAACAAACCGTACTCTGTATCGCATCAAGATCACGAGCAGCATAACGAGTGCTGCGTCCATGTTCCACCAAAGCCACTGCCTGAGCAACTTCTGCAGGACTTAAAGACATTTTTCTTGTCTAGCAACAGTCAACGATGTTAACGACACTAAACGTCACTGAAATGTTCTCGTCAATTTGGCTTAATTTCTGATGGTGCTGTCGAAGAAGCTGCGTTATCCTTTAGAGCTGATGTTAACAATAATAGGAAGCTGAACAAAAAACAGAAGTGATCAGAACAGGCAAGACTACAAGCTCTTTGTGTTTAAAATTAATTTCTTTTGTCGGTGCACCCCACAGCATGCTTAAAAGTGTAGGAAGAAAACACGCGTTAGCGTTATTCACCATTGCTGAAATTGAAAAGCGCCAAAATAGGGAAGGCACCTACAGAAAATTGACAAATGAGCCACTAAGACCTTCCAAATAAAAAAACCCTTATTCAAATCGACCAATACATTCAAAAGTTATATCAGTTTGAAACTGGTCATCATACTAAGTGATACTTTTTTTATGCCGCTGACTGTATATCTTTATTAGGCGTTTTATATAATGATGTCTTCTTCATCAGCTGTATGCGAGCCCTCGTCATATCTTTTTGTTGTCTAGTTTTTTTCTCCTTTTTGACCTTGTCACAGTTCTACCTTCAGAATATAATAAAGACCAGTTCAACCAGTTACAAATTTTCTTATATTAATGACACTAAATTCTGAATCTTCATTATAGTACATTTGTATCTCAAAATTATTTATATCTGAGTAAGGGGTTTAGACCTTTCTATCTTTATTTAGCGTATTTTTAAGCCAATTTATTGGCAACGCTGTAACGCTTACTTTTTTTGGTTTTGCATAACATTGTTGGTAAAATTGTCTACTAACAGATTTATGCCAAAATATAAATCAAAAATCTCATTGTACTGTTTAATTTGATACTGATTGAGGTTCTGGCGTGTTTATTCCTTCAAACCAAAAATCTCTGTTTCTAGTAGTAGCGATTATGTCAAAGCTCAGATTCACTGATACATCAATTACTTCATCACTATATTGGGAGCAAAATTTCTACGACTCATTTCAAAATGATACACTTTTTATCGCACTCTGTATTTTCTGAGATTTCTATGGTGGTCACAAAATAAAAAAAGCTGTATTTTTCATTATTAACTAAGTTAATAAATTGCAGATATTAAATACAAGATTAAGCGTAATTGGTGCAAAAATAGAAGCCATGTTTATGATTTGTTTCGGTTTGATGGTAATAATTACAATATTGTTAGCAAGAAATGTAATCAATCAAGTGCTCAAACGCGGGCTGAAATTTCTGATTAGGAAATGGACAATAATGGACTTAGCTATAATTGTATGCGTAATAGCTTATTGCATACTATCAATTCTTAAACACTACGAACGTAGCCATTTCGAAAGTCAAATCAGTGTCCTACGCCGAAATGAATTTGTTCCTCCGTTTAGCACGGTTGATATAGATGAAGAAATAAGAATACTCGCCGGTTTTATTCTATTTTTATGCATTATAAGATTATCGCAACTATTTCACTATATCAAATTCTTAAGGCGATTTGCATACACTCTGAGTAGAATATTCGGCCCGATTCTTTTCGTTTTTCTATGCACAATGTTGGGGTATTTTGCAATGGCTCTTATAGCACGTTTGTGTTATGTATCGGATATTAAAGAGTTTCATTCGATATCAATGGCTTTTAGTACTCAATGGGTAATTTTTGCGCGACTTAAAACACCAGCTGTACAATATTTAAAAGAAGAATCAGGTTTTCATCAGCTTTATCTCTTAACACTCTTCATAATTGGAATAGTTGTTAAAATAGTTGTGATTGTCATTACTTTGGTTGTGTTTAGAGAATGCAAAAAACTCTTATCTGGTCTACAATGGAGATACGAACTTGTTACATTTACGAAAGAATTCTTTAATTATTATTATGAATACACAGTTAGAACAGTAATACCTATTAAAAAGAAAACGAATTTAAGAGCTGGAAGAGAAGAATTTTATGAAGCGCCGATAACATCTAAAGAGTTGAGATATCGCTATGAAAGTCTTTATAAAATTGGAATTAATAAAATGAATTTAATGAGATTCGCTTTACTCGCGATTTTACGGAACAAAGTTGTTCGACAAAGTAATTATCATTTCAATGTTGTTATTTATAATCCCTTTAATATTTTTTTATAATTTAATACAAAAATTTTTTATTAGGAAAAGATCGTGCAACCGATAAAGATTTTGCCTTAATGGAAGAAATAGCTCGTGCTGTTTATGTCATGCGACATTCAGTTACAAAAGAAACTGAAGGTCTTCGAGATACAACCACATTATACAGTTTCGGTTATAGGGTGCCCAATAAACGAGCCCGATTAGTTAGCGATGCAAGAATTTTGGAAATGGAAATGGTCTCACAAGAATGTGTTACAACTGCCCGATTAGAACAATTAAAAGCTATAACGCAAGATAGAGTGGTAATGGTGCCAGATTTGCTTACTTTGGGTCGAATGGAAACGATGTATCGATGTTTAGTATTAATTGCTGGATTATTTGGTAATATCACCCTCGATATCGATCCAAAATTTAGCAGAAGACCCGAGGAAGAATATGCACATGATGATAACATAAGTACTTCAGTTAGCAACGATTCTCTTTCTGATGAAAATATAAGTGGGGATGAAATTAAAGAAAAAGTTAAAGAAAGGGTTAAATTTAAAACAAAACCCAATACTTTAAAACTTTGTAAGAAATGGTCCGTTGTTAAAAAGTAATTTATTAGTTGATGTTAATTTTAATAAATATAATTTGTTTTTGATTACCCCTAAGCTTCTGACTTGATTTAACTATTTAATTAACAATTTAATAGTGCAAAAGAAATCCGGTATTAAGTAGACACATAAATACATTATTTCAAATTAACATCATTCTTTTTAAGGAAGAATATATCTCTATTTTCTTTAGAACGATTTATAAATTAGTTCCAGACAGGACGTCGCGCCTTTATTTTTTTATGTAGTTAAAATAAAGGTGCGACGTCCAGTCTGGAACGCACCGTCGATTCCGATTGGACTGTTAAAAATTGAAATATTTTCGTCGGGTAGTTTTAAAAAAAAAAATCGCAAAGTGGACAAAGTTGACCGCACAGTTGCAGTCTATAGCTAGGTGTCCACTTACGACAAATGCTTTCGAGAGTAGCTATTGAGAGTATTTTTTCTGGTGGACACGTATCTGACAATGAGAATAACTATCGGAGAGTCTCCACCAACTTTACGAGAATGAACAGGTTGAGACTTGTACTCAAGTAGACACGCACAATTTATCTATCGTGAGAAAACTGTCAAAAAACGAACACGGTTCGAACTTTGCTGCGAGTAGCTTCGAGTTTTCTCATAAAGCTAAGTTTCCACATGCACGGAGTACTGGCGCCAGTTTATTTACATGTGGAAATAGCAAAAAACCACCGGCGCCAATAAATTGCTAATAAACCGTCCAAAAAATTGACATTAGAACAAACAGTACTGTTTCTAGAAACGTATGAGCAATATCCTTGTTTGTGGAATCAGAAAATACCACAATATAAGGACCGATTAGCACGAAATGAAGCTGTCAGAAGGATAGTTGAAATTATGAAAAAACTGTTCCTAATTTTGACGAAATCTCGGCAAAAGCAAAAATACGAAATAGTTTTTAATTCATGCAGAAGTGGAGCATCAGCTGACGATGTACATAAACCCACAGTACCATGGTATTCTGTGGCTAATTGATTTCTACACTCAGTTGTGGAAATAAGAGAAACGCGGGATACTTTGGTAAGTATTTATTAATTATTATTCTATTTGTGTATAATGTTTATATATAATATTCAGCGTATCTATCTCGTATTAGTGCTGCTTCTCTTGAGCGCCATTATTACTACCAATGTTCTGAAGCTGACGTAGACCAGATGACTGTCGTTCACGCCATATACCAGGGATCATCTCTCCAGTCTCTAAATTTTCAAAGTCTGTCAACCCCGACAATAAAAACTGGCGCGACAGTAAAATTAAATGGCATGTGTAAACATCATCTGACATGCAAGTTGAAATCATACATGCATGGATCGGAAAACTCTGCACCCTTCTGAAATCACTGGCGCCACTGATGAGTTTAAAAACATATAACCTAGAGATGTGTAACACTGCGCTGCGCGGCGCAATTGAGTTAACACAGTACAGTGTGTTACGTGCACTGATACCCAACTTTAAAGTGAGTCAACTCAATTGCGCCACTGTTTGCGTAGTAGCGTATTCTGGTGTGGCTTGCTAGGGATAGGCGTAACACACTCGTAGATGCAAAGCAGTTGGACGCACAACCGCTATGACGCAGGCGGCATAAGAATTATGGCTGGTATTTTCAACTATCTATAAAGTCCTCAATAGCTATGCGACAAATCTATCAGATTTATTACCTTATTATAGCCCTTCAAATGAGCAAATATAATGGCGACATAGTACAAAACACGTCATGTACTCCTTAGGCTAGGCGCAAATTGAGACGTATAATCACGTATAAAACCTGAATTTGCTAGAACTTAATACACCAACTAATGAATCATATTTTAATACATTCAATTAAACAACATGTATAACATGGAAAACGTATATTCAATAATACACAGAAGTTTGTATACATGACATAGTTCCTATTTATACAAGACCTATGTCATAGGTAAAAATAAATAATTTATATCAAAAACGAACTATAAAATATAAAAAAATAAAAGTACATTCCTAGTATTCATATATAAAAAAATAAAGATACGTTCTTTGTTATTGAAATAAAAACTTAACAACGTAAAAAATATAAATTAAAACAATACTAATCCCTATTGTTTAAGTTGTAGCTTAAAAATACCACTTGAGCTATTTTGTTCGTCGTTAGACGCTCACGTTTTTCGCTTACAATTTGCCCTGCTTTGGAGAAAATTCTTTCACAAGGAACGGATGTTGCCATAACGCACATTCGTTTCTTCATTATTTGAAATAAATTTGGATAAATGTGCTTTCGCTGATGCCACCACACTAATGGATCTTGTATCACACCGTAAATATCTTTTCTTACTAGTAAGGGTTCCTCTAGATATTTATCCATTTCTTTTTTAACAATGTCGCTTGTGTCCTGTGGAGTTAGATGATTTTGGACTTCTAAATCAAAATCTTTCCATAGTATATCTAAACAACTTTTATTAGATTCAGGTAAGGTTGATGTGTGATTATAAGGAGCCGTGTTTTCAATATAATTCATCGTTGTATTTGTGGTTGTATTTTCAGAACATATTTTTCCAATAGCGTCACTGTAGCTTGTTTGCGTAATAAAGCCAAACTTTTTAAATCTTGGGTCAAGTACTGTTGCTTGTGATATAAGCTCATTATCTTCCATATCACTGAACCTGTTATGTAATTCTAATTTTAATTTTTCTGCCATTTGGTTTACTTCAGGCATTAAATCTGCCGTATTAAAGGAATTTATATGTTTCATTAGCTGTTTATAATATAATATTATGCATGAAACACTAACCTTTTTTTCTGAACTAACAGCGGTAGTCACAACATTAAACATTTCTAAAATGTTTACTGTCTGTTCAGCAATAAGCCATTCTTCATTACTTAATAAGTCTATATTATTAATATCAACATCTCGTCCAGATTTTATGACAGCTAAAGCTGATACTAGTGCAGTTTTCACAGTAATTATACGTTGCATTTAAAGAATGCGCGAAACAACCCCAATGCTTCTAACCCCCAAGTCGTATTGCCAATTTCATATTTGACGCATTATCTGAAAAGATTGCAGTAATCTTCTCACTTATCTCCCATTCATTCAATATAATTTTTAATTTATTAGCGATATTCTCTCCGGTGTGCTTATCCGCAAATGCCACGCATCCCAACAAATCTGATGCTAAATATGTGCGTTTCTCCTCTTCAACGACGTAATGTGCGGTAACGCTATAAAAACTATCTTGATTCCTGGATGACCAACCGTCTACTGTTAGACAAACTGCAGTCGCCCTCTTTAACCTTCCTTGCACTATATCAACTGTTTCTTGATACAAGTTGGGAATTAGCAACTGCGAAACCGTTTTTATTGTCTTTCATTTCGCTAAAATGCTGCTATATTTGGCTTTTTTGCTTTGAAGACATGATTTTTGTACAAAATATTTAATATGTAAATATTAAATATAAAACATTTAATTTTTCAATATATAACAAAATATGGTAACTTTAATTACTTACTTTAGATATATTGCGATAATACTAAAAAAATGGACGCAAATTTCACTACAATATTCCTCATAAACTCAGCGCTGCGCTCCGTGTTGGCTTGCAATAACACTATAGCGCAATATATGCGCTGTACGCTCGCACCGGTGCCGCGCACAACGAGACACCAGGCGACGCCGGCGCAGCTGAGCGATAGATGTGATGCATCAGCAACTGTGTTATGGCGCAATTGAGTTGATACATTGCGCTAACTCATTTAGGTGCGCCAGTATCAGTGTGTCAGCGCAGCAAATTTTGCTGCGTTACACATGGTTAATATAACCATGACAACATAGATGAGTATTCACAAAAACACAACATTTTTTAATGTCAAATTTAAGTTATGTTTCATTCCATTCATAATTAAAGGATTGGGCAGAATAAGGATTTGTACCATTAGTAATATCTAATCTTCTGACAGTAAAATTAAGTCTTCTGCTAACAATATTTGGTATTTTAGTAGTAGTGTGTAGTCTTCTGTAAGAAGGATGTGCTTCATTTGCAATATCTAGTCTTTCGGTAGCAATACTTAGTCTTCTGCCAGCAATATCTAGTCTCTTTCAGCAATTGAGGCGTTTAATTTTATATTTTCTAATAATTTTCCAAAATACTGCCAAGCCACTATTAAGCTATTACTACTTACAGTTTGCATTTATATGTGCCATTAAAACAATCTAGTTCACTTTTTTGTGAATCTAGTATGGCAAATTTGATAACGAATGTTAATACCCAGCTCTAATCTACGCCAAATCTATGGTTTCACCCAACAGCTTCTTTTTATTTTTTAATTTTATATAACATTATTGCACTTGCAATTGTTTTGTATCCATGTTTATACACACCAAAGCGAGAGTTACTCTCTAAAGTTTCTTCCAAGTGGACACCTAGCTTATTAGCTTTAAACTAGTCAGAAGCGACCATTCGACTACAAACTTCATCTTCTTTTAACTTATGATCGTCTGCAAACGTTATAGTAAACTGCATATTTTCAAGAATTCAGGGAGATCATTGACATACAGCAAGAAAAAAAAGAAGAATTCATAAGGAAAAATTAAGAAATTTGTTCAGTGTTATTGTTAAGTAATAGTTTAAGCCTTGTTTATAGACATACAAAATATGTATCCATAAACAAGGGTTTAAGTTAGTTATTTCTAACTCACCTGTATATAACGTATATCGATAGATAAACTAACTGATCGCTTATCTTCAGGATAAGATATCATTTCCGGTTGCGCAAACTAATTGAAATTTTATATCAGAATGTTTATCAAGATTATAAAGGCACATTTAATTAATTTGTTTTAATTGTAAAAAATATCAGATAAAGTACCACTTTCGGTTACGCAATTTGATAGTAATTTTATATCTGATTTTTTTTTATAATTAAAAAAAACATGTATAACATATTGATCGTATATTTTTTATTTCAAGTATAAAATTATACGAACAGATTATGAAAAAATTGAGTTATCAAGTTTCCTGAAGTATCTTTTCAAATATAATATTGAATAAGAAAAATATAA